AGTTAAGTTAGCTCTCTGGTCGTGCGTATTAATATTTCTTTCTGTCTCTGTCTCCTCTTTTGGGTTGATATCGGAATATATCACGATCGTCGGATGTGGAACGAAAAATCCGTAGATGAAGCGATAAAATTGTGGAGGGATGTAGTTAGCTAGTTAAGTGCGGTTTTTGTGATTGGCGCGAAGCATAAACAAAAATACAGCTACTCGCATGAACCACGATGATTCGAAGACTCAAAAACTTCTGACATCCCATGAAATATTTTGGGTTTGAGATCAGGATATAAAATAATGAAGTTATTTCGCGAAGCAATTCGAGGTTTTGTTGATTGCCACGGGTTCGGAAGAATAATTTCCCGATACGATCTTGCCTCTTGACGCAAAATTGGCAGCATTTCAACGCCTTGAACCCAAGAATTATTCTAAAATTGAAATGTCTTAATTTCCCAACCCGCAGCGATTGATGCCGGTCTCTTCATCCCCATCCATTGCTGAATTGTGCTCTCCCAGGTCATGTGGGACAAATTGATTTTTGCTCTTAATTATTGACCGGTGGGTTGAGTTAGTCGGCTGGGTTGTTGGCTGCTCAGCCGGCAACAGTGGGGGCTACATCGCAACACTTCATGACGGAGACTCACCAATCCTACTTTTCATTAATTCTCATTTTGTTCGTTGCTGCTGCATACATGTATTTTTGACCTACCGCTTTACTATTAATTACCAAGGTGCTGTTTCTCAGTTTGGATTTGTGATGTTTATCAAGTATCTTTCTTCGATTTTAGTCTCATGCTGATAATGGGTAGATAACCACTTCTTTACTGCGACCAGTTTCTGGTCCTCCCCCAGAATACACAGGAAGAAAACAGTATTTTGTACGCGCATTGGTACATATGTTGATGCTATCCAGGTGAAGAAGAATGAGCTCCTTGGAAGTGAAGTTCAACCCCAAAATCATTGGGTTGGCCGATTTATATCGGCCGGTTGAGCCAATTGATACAACATGGGTCTAAAATATTCGATATCTCATGATGCACCTAGGTATTTGCATGGGCCACATTGAAGCTCAAGCACTTCTTAGCCTTATATTTGTTATAATGTAGAAGCCACGACTCAACAGCTACAACCATCGGGAATCATGAGAACTGTCAGGCCTCCGGTCCTTGTTTACTCTCAACATTTTCCATTAAGCTATTGTTTTACTGCTTTGAAGATGAACTAGACCTTCTAGTTTTTTACTTCTGCCCTCTCTAACATACCGGCAAACTCAGAAACAACGAGGCAACTACTTGCGGATGTGTATATATGGGTGATGAGCCACCTTTTGAACAGATATGATATGCTGTACGGAGTACACATTCAGCACTTGGAAGATAACATTCTCTATTATCCGCTAAATCAGCCACCCACCCTGATGCTTTCACTAAAAGTTCATCATACCGAAGGCTTTCGGATGGGGTGAGGGAGACGTGCGTTTACTGCCTGACTAACTTGGCGTTGGCATTTTCGACCAGATTTTATGCGTTTGCTGTTGTGTACACTTCGAAAGCAAAGTGCCAATGCGCACAGCGAGCTCACGAAGTCGACTTGATATTAATGTTGTCTCTCGACGTTGTTTCCTTTTGGTTTACAACTTTAGGACTGTGATATTCCACCATCCTTCTCGATGGTATCTACCAATATGATGAGCTTCAACAGAACCTGCAAACAAAGGACTAGTTGCAATTGCATTTTCATGCAAGGTGAGGAAACCCTTATGTTTCGGGCTCCTATTAACCTAAGGTTTGACCATTTGGTCTTGCGAGTTAGACTTAACATTTACTGTGCTTCCAATACTTGCCAAGGATTTAAGACTTCAAGGTTTGGTCCCATTCCATTTTACCTTCTCCATTTGTTTTTTCTTCTTTAATCCATTCAGAGTCAGCCGCATTGGCATATATTACGGAGTACATGGCACTGAAATAGGACTGACTAGCTTTCGGGGCTTACAAATTGAACTCTTGGATCGGTATTCTTGACAGCTCCGCTGACCATTAAAAATTGGAGATGCGCGCTTTATGCATACCGCGTTCCATCCCACTATGCCAGCGATGAATACCCGATCAACTAGGGATACCTGACGCTTGACAGCCCAATATCCAACCTTCGGTGTCGGTCACTTACGCTGCGAATGGTGACCACATTAGCGTTATTTTCCCTGTCAGATCGGCGACCGGAAGAATCAAATTGATCAAGGCATTTGCTATTTTTACACTCAGAAGCAGGTATCGGCATTGAATCATCCCAATGATCAAATAAACTCGAAATGCAACCTGCATTTCGCACTCTATGTTTGAGCCCTCCCTACACTTTTAACTACCAGATGGCTGCTGTAAGCAAACTAAACCAAACTCACTTGGGATTATAAGATCTCACCATACTAATATTTAGTTCAATTCGCGTTTGCGATGAATGTCAGCATACAATATCCAACGCTTTGATTTCAATAACCAAATCCATTCTTAGTCAAAACCTTACGAGAGAGATGCTGTGTTTGGAATGGCAACCCTATGAACATTTCTCATGAGTTTTATCTCACCCCCTGAGACTATCGGTTAGAATTCTGTAAGAGCTTTGATCTTCCTTGAAAACAAGAGAGTTCGAATTGCGCGTGACATGCCAAATGGCGACCTTTGTTTCCCGCCTCTGATAAGTTGATATTTCTATCTGATGCACTTATACCCGAAGTTTGATATTATCAAGAATTTAAAATGGGGTTCTTGTCTCCATAGCTACCTTGCTTGTGCTTACACAGGTCCTGGTATTCGCCGGAATGCTAACTATAGTTCAAGGTTTCCGGGGGACATGGCGCCCGAGTCTGCACCAACACCCTTGCTTTTTAACTAGTCCAAAGTGGTTAGTGTAGACTCACTCTGGACGATCGACACTGACGCTGTGTTGATGGCTTTGGGTCTCACTATTGGTATTGCCTTGATATTCCATGCCTTACCAATGGCCCAATAGCCCCTTAAAAATATTCAACTTATCCATATAAGATTGCAGCAACGTCCAGAATCGAAAATCTATGTTTGGTTTATACAAGCCACTTCCTTTGGAGGCCTTCTAGCCATTTCCTCCAGGACCAACCTTAAATTCGAGTTCTCCAGTTCGATGGCTTTCGAAAGAACTCTGGATCTTGTGCCTTGCTGGGTGCTTGTTCTATTGGAGAACTAGATATGGCTTGTGGTTTGCATTCAGAATTGCCATAACCCTTGGCGGTGCTTAACAATTTATCATTGATTTAACAGTGAGCATGCATTCTTGGTGCTGAAAGTTGAAATGACGATGTGTCCTATCAAATATTCTTTCAACCATCCAAGAGATCGACCCTCTACTGCAAAGTTGCTTTCAATGGGCCTCTGGTACACAGCAATTTACATAAATGGATGGAAAACGTTGTCCCCAGCTCTGACTCTCCAGGGGAAGTGTTACAGGTCCTATTCTAAAACTCGGAATAATTTCTTTATGTGACCAAATCTAGCTATAATACGGATTTTAAACACCACAGGATGGCTGTCTAGAACCGCTCTTTTCAGTAAGACCATACGCCGCACTCGTGAACATTTGCTTATCAATGGTATTATTGCTCTCCTTCTCCTAAAACATCACAACTGCAACTTTTTGAGTTACAATCAAGAAGTCAGAGCTACTGTTTACTCTTAACTCCACCTCTGTTCTACAGCAAAATGGGTCAGTATACGGACATACCCCGCCAAGGGGAGCAGCAGCCTAACTCTCTTAATATAGCCAATAACCCCACCAACCCTCACTTTTTTTTTGGCCATTTTCCATGAGTCGACATTATCAACAGAAACAACGAATATAGCGATACCATCTCTTAGACGAACGGAACCAAAGATGCCAATACCAAGGCTCCAGCGGCTCGGACAGAAAAATTCCTCACCTTCCAGCAAAAGGCAAAGAGTCAGCCATGCCTGTGATCCGTGTCGCAAAAGGAAGTTTAAATCCGATGGTCTCCGTCCTGTCTGTTCGCGCTGTAGAGATCAAGGGCCTGCCTGTGTTTATCTGGATGACAAACGCAAAAAGCTGAAACGGTCAGTCTGAGGATCGTTTTTGGATCGTTCGAAACTCCAGCTCATTTTCAGCTTTGAATTGTTTCACACGGACCTGTGTACGCCAAAGCATCTTCATGGCTTTTTCCTTTGCGTCTCAATTTTTATATTTTTCTCCCGTCGTTGCTTCTCTTCCCCTTACATCGTTCTCTTTAACTAAGCCAGTTATTGGGTGGCAGATATAAAAAAAATTAATACTGCAAAGGTGGCTGCATACGAAAAGCTTCTTCCCAACTTGATTCCATGTCAAAATCCAGAAACGCATCAAACAATTCAAAAAACGCTATCAACGGTAAATTTAAAGGCTTTCCTCTTGAGACCAAATACTAGTTGATGGGCTATTTGTTCCGCGAGTTCCGTATATGAAGCACTTGCTGACGCGTTGCAGTATCGAAATATCGTTGAAGACGATATTGCTGTTCTAAGGGTAGTTGCACTGCCTGGTGATGTGGACGCATCTGCAGCCTCTCCAGTTTCTTCTTCCTCACAATTCCAAGATTGGGCTCAACCAAGGACCCATTTGTGTCGACAGCACCACAAGCTTCCTTGGAAGAGCTTCCGTCGTCAGATGGATTGAAGAACTTACAACAAAAATGACAGATTTTTTCGGTCCAGCTAGTTGAGTTTTTGGTTTTTCTCTCGCTCTGAAGCCATCTAACTCTTTCTGAATCAGCTACGGCAAGTACTTAAACAAGAAGAAACATGCAGTAATTTTTGAGGGGTTCGATCGTTGCCTGCTGCAAGAATGCACATATTTTTTCGACTACAACTACGTTTCCTGTGGCGGACTATCAGGCTCGGCTCCCCACGAAAGAGCTGGCTGACTTGTTCGTAAATTCATATTTTTCAACTGTCCATCCAATGTTCCCGCTCTTTTCACAGAGAGAATTCAGAATGACTTACGGAATTTATTACGAAACAGCGGACTGCCCTGGAGAGATATGGCACTTTATTCTGCAACTCGTTCTCGCTATTGGTGCACTTTACACTCTTCTTACAGAAGATCCTCGCACAGCAAAGGGAGGTGATCTTACTAGGTCCGCATTCCGTTCAAGCGCGGTGGGACTGAAATCAATCATTTGCGTTGATTCTCCTTCAACGGAACAACTTCAAGTAGCCGCTATAAGTGTATTGTATTATCTTGTTAGCTACCACATCAACAGGTAAATTCATATGTGCTCAGTATTTTGTAATAGCAAACTAACAATATATTCAGAGCATGGAAGTTAATTAGACTGTTCATGATATGTTTCGACGATACCAGTTCTCTCCATTTAGTCAATGCTAATACAGTTGTTGCCGAAGGAAAAGGAGGATATGAATTGAGAGTTTGACATTCCATCAGGTCTTTGGAACAATTTCCTTGCGTCCTGACAGGGTGGCCTTCTTTAATCCACGATCGCTTCATAAGTATCCACCTACCACAGGCAATTGAACTCCCTTTTACGAACCCTTCCACGTCAATCGAATCGCTAAGATTTCCAGGGGCCGGGGCAACAATGCATTCGTTGTCAAGTATTCAACCCGCTAGCAGCTCACCTATTACCATGTGGACCTTTTTCTTCCGGAGTCTTCGTCTGGACTCAATAATCGTCGAGACCTTACAGGAGCTGTACAGCTCCAACATAGGCAGTAGAACTTGGGCTAAAGTGCAGAAACTGGTCATCGATTTAGACAAGAAGCTCTACCAATGGAGACACGACCTCCCCGCAAGGCTTCTGGTCTGGCCACCTGATTCCAGCCCGTTCCTACCAGTAAATCAGCGCATGTATCTGACGCTCCTCTTTTATGGTGCAAGCCTGCTGCTTACCAACCGTCCTTGTTTCTCTGAGACCCGCCAATTAAGCGATGCTATTTCGTCCCGATCTGCAGCATCCAAAAGAATGGATGAAGATGCTGCAAACCGTTGCTTATCAGCAGCCTGGAACTTAATTAGGCTCTTTCATCTCAACATCCACCGCCCCAGCCTCACTCAACATGTCAACTCCTTTGTGGTGTGTCTTGCATTACATTGTACAGGCAGGCACGATTTTGATAATGGAATTATCAATCGATTATTTCCACCAATCGTCCTCCGTTTTCCAGTGGTTGCAAGCCTTGCCAACAACATTCACCCCCGCTTGTCGAGCGTACATAAGCTAGAGCCGTCTTTTGAGCCTTGCGCTTGTTAAAATTGGTAAAGAGAGACATCCCATCGCGATGAGGTTCATGGTCAAAGACACGTCAGTCGTTCCCTCAGCGGACCCCACAGTTGCAGAACTCCCGGACCACCAACACTTTTCCCCACCCAACCTAGCACCTGCGGGGTAGCAATAGTAAGGGTCATGCTTTCTGGAGGCCTAAACGTATTGGATAGTGTGCTGACAGATATTTAGCACCTTGCTCGTGCCAAATTTCCAAAACAGGGCGGGTGGAAAACTGATTGAGATTCGTCACGTCCACTCCTTTGATAATTTTTGAACCTCTAATCTTCCCCAACGGCCTATCCCTGGTATCCCGAGTTACTCGAACACATTTAATGTCTAATCATCATGTTTTGTTTGTTCCCTAATGCGTTTTGCCTCACCCCTCCCCTTTTTAGTTCTTTTTCTTAAATCAGTTAATAACATCTTGGCTTCTTCTATCCCCTTTTCCCTATCTAATGTGTCTCTATCTTTGCTTTTGTAACTGTGTAAGTATGTAAGGATGAAAGGGAGAGGGGAAATAGCAATGATGGAGATGGCCATAGAAGCTTTTAACCCCATATATCCAACTTCTCCCACTCCCCTATCCCCTTTCGTATAACCCTATCCTTCTAATGCATGTTGTAGGTAATTAGCTTAGCCTTGATCACAGTGCATGGGTGATTCTCATCATTGGCTCCAGGCTTTTGTTGGTATTCAATTAGTGAACAGCTTGGAACTTATTTTTTGTCGTGAAATTGATGAATCGTGTCCCAGGGCTCCCAGGGAAGAGTTTATGAATGAGAAAAGCATAGAAATTCACTTTCATTGAGTAAGACCCATATTAGAAAGTACCCCGTTGCCCTACTCCCTTGTGTTTTTGGCTTTGCGTAGCCTAGCCTCCGGGTTTTGCATGGCTTTTACCTTCGTTCTTGGTCAGCCTTCGTTGTTGTTGGTCAGTAGTATCCTTTCGCGCAAGATAGTTCTGGATATGATGTTCTCTCCCTAGCATTCTGAAGAAGATCGTCACGTAATGATTAACTGACCGTATAGGATTGCCAACAATTCAATTAAACACTGCTTCATTGCGTCCGTAAGCAGGCCAGGATACTCGTCCTAACAGAGGCATATTCTCTATACGGACCCCTTTAAGTCCAAGATGATCGACACGATGCGGCTGGAAACCTTCCCAGGTCTTGGGACAATGCATGCATATGCATGCAAGTTATCAGATTGCTAGATTGTGTTATTGAACACTGCTCAATATTATTACTGTTCGTTAGATAGTTATGACTTCATTATTTCGGCTGCAGTCTTCGACGTCATAATTGAGGTACACAATTGGTGTTACTTGTCGGATTCTGCGTCCAAAGTGCTTCATAATCAGTGACTTTGCATCTATTAGTTCATGGCATTGTGAGCAGCTTAGCGCACTACTCCATCAGACGAAAAGGAAACTAATATGTGAGATAGGAAATGATTATGAACAAAGTGTGGCAAAGCTATATAACTATTACAACATCTGTGACTTGGTGAGGGACCTTTGCTGTCACGTGGCCGTACATCATACCGAAGAGGCCTAGCTAGCTATCTAATATACACTATATCACGTGCGGCGGGGCGGCAGCCTGGGCAACATACACCCAACACCCTCCCACGCACCAACATGCGAGATATTATATCCCCTGTGTATTCAAAATCTAGCTATCCTATCCTAGATGTCAACCAAAACACACTACATACAAGATTTTGCTAGAATGAACTAATATCCTTGTGAAAGACCTAGTAAGCTGATAAAATGCTTAAATGCCACTGTGCTCAGAGGTTTTATAAGTTCATCTACTGTCATATTTTCTGTAAAAACATGGTCAATTGAAATCATCCTCTCATTCAACTATGTACAGGAATAGTGGAATCTAGTGTTGATATGCTTGCTACATGTGATAATCACTATCACAGTGGCAAGATCAATTGAGCCCTTATTATTCATTTTAATTTATAGGAAATTCTTTCTAATAAATTTTATATTCAACATCATATTGTGAATCTATATAGTCTTATGTACAGCTTTGCTAAGTGTTATATATTCAGCTTCATTAGAACTCAAAGAGATGCAAGATTGCTTAGAGAATTGCTATGAAATTGAAACTCTCTTCAGCAAGAAAACAAAATCTGACATAGATTTTTAATTGTCATTCAGAGATTTTACTCAATCAGAATCTATATATTTAATAAGCATAAATATAATATTTGAGAACTGAGTATATTCATCATCAAGCTCTTCATATAAGATATTTAAATTGCTTAATTTTTTCAAATATCATATGATATGAAATAGAGCTTTTCATGCTTTGAAAGTAGAAGTAGTATTCTTCTATGTCAGAAGAGATACTATATGAATGATATCAAAATATAATTTAACTGTGAGATATTACAGATAGTCAACACTGTATTAATAATGTTACTTTGTAAAGTTAATTTCTTTTTCAAAGATAGAAAAGTTATCAATTTGAAATTATTATTTTATTAATATACAGATAGTGATAATGTCTTTCAGATAAAAATCTTATATTAAATAATTGATATACTGTCTCAATGTTAATTTGATTTTATCATTCTATTGATGTTCAACTTTCATACTCAAATACTTTGACAGCTTTTTGAAATCTTTGATCTCTAGCTTACTTGCTAATATATTTATTAATCAATTGATGTCTATAAAGTCTTTTATTATTATATAAAATTATTAATATAGATTATTATATAAAGATATATATAAATCATATGCTATCATAGAGCAAATTTATAGAAGAATGAAGTAAATTTATTCTCATATAATAAAGCTATCAAAAAATCATATTAAATTTTTATTACTGAATCTCATTCATATAAAAATTCTTCAATAGTATAAATCAATATCTGTAAAACTTCTGCTTTAAATTTGATAAATTATCTCATATAAATTATTTATTCAAGTTAGTCATAAAGATATATTATTAAAATATCAACTTAATAGAGTGTTCAATTTTTTTTTATTGAGATTGCAAATATCATTCAATTTATAATATTATTAATCATAGAAGTATATATCTCTTTATAAGATTTCTTCTTTAATCAATTACTGCAAACTACTTAGTAAAATTTTTATAGTATTCTATTCAAATCAATATTAAAGTTGTTTAGACAATTTTTTTCAACAAAGATTCAATAATCTAATGTCACTGATTCATCTATGAGAATATCAGATTTTAAAATCAGAGTTTAAGTTTTTTACTATTTAAAATTTATAATTTTATATTTTATTAATTTTTTTCAATAATCTTCTATCTTCTCAGATCTATATATAATATTTTTAAATATCTTTAACAAAAATTCTATGATAGAGAAAAAGATATATATAGTGAATAATTTTATAAATCTGATTTATTCAGTATTTTTAATTTTAAAAACTTCATTATTTTCAATTAAATAGATTATAGGATTAGAGAATTCTTCTATCATAGAATTAAATATTAATTCTTTATTATTTATTTCATTTGTACACTTTTTTGAAAGGAAAATCACATTGCTAATAATCAATATTTTATCTGTCATAGAACTTTATAATTGAAAGATTAACTTATCACAAAACTCAATAAGTTTATACAATTTTATTCTAGTAGATAGCTTATTTATAGACTTTTATGATTTGTAAAAATGAATATAAACATCTGATTTAAGCTCACAGAAATGCAAAACCTCTGATGAGATGATTAAAAATATAGAGAATAAAATTATATAAGAGTAATATATAGATTATGATTTGTCTGTAGTATCTGTAGATTAAAATTTCAAATTGTATAGAATAGTGAATATAGATATATTATTAGTGATCACTACTACCATCTTCAAAATATTCATCTAAAACTTTTTAGAGATATTTTTATCAATAATGATTATTTTAGTATATATCATAATCATATGAATACTATGTTTCAATACACTATCTTTATAAAAAAATTATTAAGTTATGAACTCTTAAATTATTCTCTGACTAGTCATTATTATCAATATTCTATTGAAATAAAAAATACTATTAATATTCATTCTAATATATATAAATAGAATAAAATCAAGATTTCTTATAAATTGAATTAAATACTTATAAAAATCAATGATTTAATTTTTTTATATGCAAAAAATAAATTTATCTATAATAGATAACATTATTTATTATAAGTATATAGTATTTTATTCTCTGAAATGATTAAATATAATAGTCTGTTATTTTATTGAGTATTTTACTATTATTAGTAATATCAATATGAATATATTCTATTACTCTTAGTACTTATAATATTAAGATCTATGAGAATCTTTGTATCATATCAGCTTCAATATAGTTATCATAAAAGAAACCTATTTTGAGATTTTTAATTTATACATTATATAGAGAATTCTTCACTAATATGATTATTACTCTCATATGAATATAACTCAAATCAATATATCATTTTATAAAAGTTTTTAATATCTTATTTCTATTATCAGATTTATTAACTATTATAATCATATTTCTATATTCATAGAATTGAGTGGTAAAGTTGACTGCTTTGAATATATAATGAATATTAACTTCTGATTTTCATTTAATAATTTTGTATATGAAGCTCTGAGGTATTTAAATTGTAATAAAGATGATACTATTTGATATTTGAATAATGAAATAAAATAAAGTAAATGAGAATAACTTAAATCAGAAGCTTTAATCTTCTAACTTCATGAATGATAATAGATTGATAATTAGATTTGAGATTCAATGAATGTCTTTTATCATAATATCTCTATTATCTGATTTTAAAAGAATATCTTCTATTTTTTTAATTTATTTTTAACCTCTGTTATCATAATTTAACTACAATCAGAATGATAATAAAACAACGGCTTCAATTCATCTATTTAACTAGGTAGCTGCGATGAGAGTACTAAACTAAGAATTAAAATATGAAATAAATAAGCAGCTAAATATA